GGCGGCGGGGTGCGGGGCGGGGCGCGGGGCGCGGTCACCGGGTCACCGGGCCGGGAGGGTCTCCGCGCGGTGCAGGCTCCTGGGGGGGGACACAGTGTGTTTGAGCTCTGTTCAATGCACAAGGCTCTCAGGCTGCTCTGCGGAGCGCCCGGGGCAGCGGACAAGATAATCAGGGCCATTATTTGCTAACACTTCTTAAGAAGAAAAATGTGCATTTTTACGTGTGACTCGGGAGGAAAAGATCCGCCCCCGCTCCACCCCACCTGCAGGCGCTCCAGCTCCTCCCTCAGGTGGCGGCGTGCGCGAACATTACCTAACTTTAGGCCGTGCTGCAGCAGCGGCAGCATCTCAGCTGCGTCCCTGAGGGGTCGGGGTGCCTGGGTAACCTGCATGGGCTTAGGACACACGGCGTCTCCCTCGATGGGCTGTTTTTCTCAGACAACAAAAGAGTGAGACGTCACTTGGGGTAGGCAAGACGTCACGCTTCACAGTGAAGGCAGCAGCACCGTGAAGAGCAGCTCACGCCCCGCTTTTGGCAGTGCAAAACCAGGGGGCGTCGGCGGGAAGAGCCCGGCAACCCAGCCAGAACTCGGACACCGAGGCTGAGTAGGCGGAGCCGTTGGGAACCACGTAGCAGCCGGCACGGACGTCACGCCAAGGAGTGACGTACAACCCGCGTCGGCCGGAGCGCTGGCGAGGCCCCTCCCACTCCCCCGCCCTGGACCAGCGAGCCTTCCGGAGGGGGCGTGGCCCAGGGCGAGAAAAGCACAGCGCGCATGCGCCCCTGGGTTCTGACCTGTGAACCAACTAGCAGTCTCGCGAGGCTTGAGAGTAGGTGGTGTAGGTAGTTGTCCGGGATGCTGGCGAGGTAGATGATAACGCCAGAGGAAGAGGAGGAGGAAAAGCGGGTTCCCTGGCTCAGTCTCTGTTTCGCTTTCCTTTCCGTTCCCGCTACCCTCCAAGTCAGCCCGCCCCCCGACCTCGGTGACCCGGCTGGCTCCGCCCACCAGCGACGTGGTTCCCGCCGTGAGGAGCCGGAGCCCCGCGGGAGAGGACGACCGGAGGGCCGGCTGAGGCCCGCGGCGAGGC